CTCTATGCTAAGATAACTGACTTGTAAAGCAGCTTTGATCTGAAAAAACAGGAGAGGCAGAAAAGGGAGACATGAGATGTATGTGTTCTCATGCAAACAGTCTGTGTTTCACCTGCATCCAACAGGCCCACTCTTCCTATAGAAGAGGTGAGCCGAAAAATGGGAAGCTCACTAGGGTGGTTGTCAGATGGAATTGCAGAGGGCTGATATGCAAAGGGACCACAAAGACTAGAATTGCAACAAAAAAATAAACACATTGAAAGTCTTGAAAGACATTTCATAGGTAAATACACAAAATGGCAGAATGTTCGTGGCTGAACTGGTTTTGTTGAGGCCTGGGTTTCACCAGGCAGGTGTTTTTGATTGGTTTTTATATATATAAGTTACTGATGTTGTGCACAGCATTTTTCAGGAGAGATCAATCCACACAGTGGGTCAGCTGTAGCAATATGAGGTATGATGTTCCTGGTAACAGATCTGCAGCCTAGATTATCACATGTGGTGCTAACATTGAGATTACACTGCACTTAGAAGTAAAAATAAGCTGTTTGAAGAAAACAGCTTTATATGTGCCTTGAAAATCTAACTTTCTGGTGTATGCTTTAATTTGGCTAATTAATCCTTGCAACATATCACATAAGTACCCAATGCATAATATTCTGTGAAATTATTATGGTACAGGAAAATGGCAATAAATGGAATATTTATAACTCTGAACAAGTTCTCAGTCTTTTTTGGTGGGAGTGATTCCACACGTCAGTGCTTGTACACAAAATACAAATGCTTGTACACAAAATTGGTGAAGGGTATTTCTTACTGCAGACAAAAGGATATAAAAAAATAAGTTGAGCACAAAAATTACTATCAATGTCTTGTCCTGCACAATGTCCTGTGTAACTTGCTATTCAGTTTCTTTAGTGGAAGTATCCTGGTGAATGTCACTTGTCACATAATTCTGCTTGAATTATCAAATGCTTGTCTTAATGATTATACCAAAATTTGTGAAAATAATATATAAAGGGGTAACAGAGAATGAGCATGTTGTGTATTTCTGAATTAATGTTTGCCAAATAGGGCTGTGAGAAATAGGAATGCTGACTTTTCACATAGAACGAAGATAGATATAATTCAGGATTTAATCTGCACTGATGTCAAATCATTCCACAGATGTTCTCCAAGTGGAGAAGGAGAAATGGTAGAAACAGAAATTTTATTCTGTGTTCTTCCAGAAAGAGCCAAGAGTAGTATAACTTCTTTGCCAATAAGTGGTATGCATTATGTTACCTTTTTATGTATCTGATACCTTAATAGCATTGCCATAGGGAAGCAAGAAGCTAATTAGATCATAAGGTTTTATTCTTACTAAGGAGTCTTGAAGCTGTATTTATGCAAAAATTAATGAGAATATAGGCTCATAAAGAATTTCTTACTAATTTTCAACTTGAAGCATGGGGTTCAAGAGAGCTCAGAAATTTCCTGATTTGAAATGTGCTGCACAGCTGATAAAAGGTGTCAATGTGCTGATATTATTTTACTGTGTTAATAATAATACTGTCCTCGTGCTGTGCACAAACATGAAAATCGTCTGAATTAACAAAAAAAAAGATGGGGTGTTTATTACAACACTCATTTTAAAAATATTTTGTTGCTGCATATAAAGACTTGTAAATGTATTAGCTGAGTATTGCAGTTTTATTTAGCAAGTCTGCTTAGTAGAATTGTTTTAATGTTCTTTTTAGAAAAAAATTAAAGGAGTGAAGGTCTTTTTCTTTCACTGAAATTTAGCAGTCCTGTTAAGCATGTACTGGCTTATTTTCTAGGCTCACTTTTTTTCCAGCTGTGAGTGGGAAACTTCAGGAAATCATTCCTAAAAAGCACCTTGAGGTGACTAAATTGCTACTTCCTTTATATCAAGATGGACAAATTGAAAATCTGCCAACCACAGTCACCAGTGCAAGTCCTGCTGGACTCCCACCCAAACAGATGACACGTTTTGCCTCCTCTCTGATGCAGATATGGGGGATTGATAGTTTCAAAGGTAGGAAGTTCTAGACCAACCTTGTAGATGCTGAAAGCAAGTGGCATTCCTCCCTCTTTCCTTTGTCTCCCCATCAGGATAAGAAATACTGTCATAGGAAACACTGAAATAATTTCAGAGGCTTTTCTTTCAATTGCAGTAGCATGAGTGTCCACAGTCAGCAGCAAATGGGAAACAACTGTGCAGTACTTGGTCTGCTTTGAGAGAGTCTCTTACAAGTCTGGGAGAGCACAGCCATGTCCCTTTTTATCAAGAGGAGCAATACTAGCAGAGCTTCTCATGTGTTGTGTTGCATGCTGGTAACACTGCCCTTTCAGAAGTCTTTGTTTGCACACTAAGGTAATGAAACAACAGTGCTAGCAAATGGCAAACCCAAATCTACAAACAAGACTGAAGTAACTCTCACTAGTGGCCTTTTTGTCCTCGTTGCATAGTACAGAGCAGTTTGCAAGGGGGTTGTATACTGCTGACCAAGTAATTAATTTTATGATGTTACAGTGGGTATGGTGCTCATGCTCTGGTAATGGCATTGCCATTTTACAGATGGGTACGCTTGGGACAGAAAAGTTAAAATTGGAGTGTTAGCAGCAGCTGGGGTTGAAGAGATAGTTTAAGTGTCAGTGGCAGTCACAGCTGAGAGGAAGGGCAGGGCTTTACTAGTCTGGTACTCAAGATGCCTAGCTGGCATTCCTTTACATGGCACAAACTTTCTGTATGATTTCAGGTAGAGGTTCTGACTCTCAGATGCCCATATGGAAAATTTGAACAATAGTATTTATTTTCATTCAAATTCTGCAGTTAAAAGCCATAAAATTAGGAATGGCTGGGTCTGTTAAAGACTTGAGGAGCTAGAAATTCTGTGACACTAAATTCTCATTGGAAGCTAGATTCATTTTCAGCTTGTAGAACATAATCATCTTAAAGTAGAAGTCAGTTAATGAATGTTTCTACAGGAACAACCCTTCTTACTTTCTCTAAAGCTTTAAAAAAGTATTTACCTTTAGAATATATGCCGAGTACTTAACGTTTCTAAAAAAATAGTCAATGTATTTTTGCTACTATGGATTAATACTTTTATGATTGGATCTTTAACGGAAATGGTGGTCAAAATAGGTTGTGTATCCTGTAATGTGTTATGACTATTTTGTGATGTTGTTAACAGCCCTATGACTCTGAAAATCCTCCAAACTGAGAACTTCAACTTAAAACTTCTGTTTTTTAAATACAGAAATCCTCTCAGGTGCATACTGATCGATTGTTGTGCACTGCTCACGACTGACCTTGCTTTTGTGGCCTTTTACTGCCAAACTTCTATTTGTGTTTTGAGGCATACAATCATACTCCTTTCCTAAGATTCTGATTTGTATTCACTAAGTCTCTGCAGCACCTTAAGCTAATTTGCCTATTAATAAGCAGTTGGAACTTAAAAGTGCTTTGCTGTGAAGTGGTACAACTACATGCAGACTTTGTTCTACGCTTGAGGGCTTGAACCTCCAGTACAGCTCCAGGGCAGAAAGCAGAGTTACTGCTCAAAATGTGCCAACAAGATTTAACAGGGCTCATGAGTCAGTCAAAATTGGGTTCAATTGACAGTCAACAATTTCTGTATTTGTTGTTAATTTCCTTTGTTTCTTGTGGATAGGATTGTTTTCAGGAGTCTTAAGTCAGTTTTTATTTTGCCAATTAAAAGGTCTGTCTGTGATATGTGCAGATTCCAGTATAAAGTTAGTGACAAGAATTCTTTTTAATCTGCTCTGCTAATTTTAAGCAGAGGAGCCCAAAATTGCAAAATCTCCAGGGTTTGAAGAGCTTTGTTTTACAGTATTTGTTACCAAAGACTATCTGCCTTTGTTAAACAAACTAAATGGCTTACTCAGTTAACTTTAAATTCTTCTAAAATCTGTGTTTCTAATAACTGGGTCACTTCAGCACAAAAGAACAGCAGCTTCAGTATGCAATTAATGTTTAAGAGCTGACTGTTAGTTAGATTCCATGTTTTCTTTTTGGGCCTTGTGTTTTTACGTTTTCTTCAAGTTCCTGTTTGAGACTTGGTACTAACAGAAAGAGGAGAGATGGCTTTCTGGTTTGCATCATTGTAGCTTAACTTTTCCTTGGTTCCACAAAATATATAAGTGAATGTTTCTGAGTAGGATTAATGTAGTACGGGCAGTTTTATTCTGGGAGTAAAAATTCATCCTTCAATAGTTCTCATCATCAATGTGTGTCTGCTTTTTCTTCTTCCTCCAGTAGTCTTTCTAATAGAACAATCACTTGTAAGGCAAGTGATTAGGAAAAAAAAGGTTGCAGGTGGCAAATGTTTTCAAGGTTAATAGCCCATTTGTAATGGAATATGGTGACCTTAAGGAAATATAAGAATTCATAAATAAAAAAATACAGGGAATTTGCACTTCATTGCTCAGCTCTGTTGACCCCCGAAATGCAACTACCACATAGGAACTAACAGAAAGTTGGTGATAATAAATAATACCCCTTGCTGGTGAAAACACCATAAAAGTTCATCATCATAAACAAATAGTGAGAATGGGGAAACATACAATTTAAATATAGTCAGGGACAACACAGTACGGATTATAGCAGTGTGATGTTCAAAAATATACTTGGGTTTTGACATAACTACCAAATACATGCTGTCTGCTTAGGTTTGCTTTTTGTGTTAACATAAAAGTTAAAATGTCTGTCCAATACAGTCTCCTCTTTCTAGGAGACTGTGGAAATTCAGAGTTATAAGTTAAGCAGTTCAGTATTTTAATTTTTACTTACTGGCCTAAAAGAAGAATTACTTCCTCCTGAGAGGGTTCGTTTCTGCATAATTCTTTGAAGGTTTGTCACCACACAAATATTCAGGAAAAAAATTATTGTTTTTTGGTATTCTATATCTAAAATCTAAATATATATTTATGTAATATATGTCAATGCTAATTTCTGCTTTTTCATTTTGCAGTTTATTGTGGAGTGTCATGGGAATACACTTCTTCCCCAGTTTTTGGGCATGTACCGGCTTACTGTTGATGGAGTTGAAGTATATATGGTTGTTACAAGAAATGTGTTCAGCCATCGTTTATCTGTTTATAGAAAATATGATTTAAAGGTGAGAAATAACTGCTGATTAAGTAGCTGACAGAGTAGCTGAAAATCTTTGTTATAAATGTTAGATTATGCTGATGCTTGAATATTGCTCAGTATTTTAATTAATTTTAAATTGTGTTATGCAACAGCCAGCATATTTCATTCTACACCTAGGTTTAGCAAAACTAAAGGGTGGTTTTATAGACATTATAGAAATGTGTCTGTTTTGTGCATTTTTAAGTGCAGCAATTTAGCCAGGTATGTTTGCTAAATGCTGCTAGTGGTTAAAGGTAAACCCCTTCACACTAGTACAATAATAATTCTGCTTCTTACAAGTTTTTATCATCATTATGGAAAGCCACAGTAGATTATGCAGACGGCATTTATAAAACAACTAAATAGCATCATTTAAACCAACAAATGTTGCTAACAAAGTACATTACTATGACAAAAGCTTAATAATTTAACTGATATTTTAAAAATAATTCAAGTGAAAAGGAGAAGAGTCTTTGAAAAACCAAGATATCTGCTTTTATCATAAGATCTGTTTTAGTTTTGATTCAGAAGCTTTATCTGCTCATTCTAATTTTGACCGTAGTTAGTATACAGGGCTTACAACAAATACCCAAAATGTAGTCTTAGTCTTTCTACCCAAGGGATGATATTTTAATTTCCTCTATAAAGTATCCTCTTAGAAACCTACTTCTTTCTAATACATTTAATTTCTATGTGCTGAACTACTAAGTGCATCTGCAAGCTTGTTTTAAGATGTTCATTTATCATTCTGTATTAGGAGATTTGTAATGTTATGTAGTGCACCATCCTTTCCTACGGTCAAGTCTCCTTAGCAATTGCTTAGATAGTTGACTGAACTTGATTTCTAAGAACTGATTTCCAGATTGTCAACAATTTACTTGCTGATATTCAGTATTACTGGCAGCAGTTGTTACCAGAGAAGGTTTGTTTTTTTTAATTTGAGAGAACTGTGATTTAGAGCATCATAATGTACAGATGCATTAAAAAGGGCATGAAAGCACAACAGAAAGAAACTGTAATTATATACATTATGTTCTTAGCGTTGGTGTCAACAGCTCTTTGTGTTATTTACCTCTGTGGATGCTTCTGTAGTCTTTTCTGTTCGTCCAGCTGGACAGCATGGCTTTAACTTCTCATGCAATTCAAATTTAACATCAATATCATATTCCTCAAAACAAACTCCTTCACTGAAGATATTTATAGTGACACTGAATTTATTATAAATTACTTGAATTTATTATAAATTACTTTTTCTTTATATTCTTTGCTATGTCATCTGCAGTTGTGGATTCAGAGTCCTTTTTGTACATGAATATTTTTGACACCAGCTTAGAACTCACTTTGTAGCACAAGTTTCTACCTCTGTAGATACAAGAAAAAAGACCACAAATCAGCATAGGATTTCAAGGGTATTTTTTTGGCCATGGATGCATTTTGTTAAAATTATTTCAATGTCATTTTTTACCAAATGTTAAATTTTACATCCTCCCTAAATTTTACTGATGTGACTCTTTTTTTCTTTTCCTTCAGTTTGGTTTTCAGTTGATCTCTTTTCTGACCTAATAATCTGTTGGAGCACAGAATATAATACAAAATGTGTCTCCTGAGTAAAATGAAATGTTACACTTTTACCAGGCTTTATTATCAGTTAAGAATCATTACATGAAATCCCTTCTTCTGGGCCATACATAATAACTAAGACATACTGTCCCATGTATCTTTTCTGTCCATCGCTTCTGAGTTTTCTAAGTTTCTTTCTGTGAACAGAATAAAACATGCTATAAAAGGGTCTGGTTTGGGATCCTCACATCTTTAAACTAGTAGGACTCCACTCCAGCAGTTCTTTACACAATGCACACCCTTTAATAAACAGCAGAGCTAATCTACCCATCTTTCCATGTCCAGTTACCATATTTATAGTTACTATTTCTTGCTGTGCTGTTACGTGATATACACATGCTGGGTATTTAAAGGTGTGGTCCCACTCCAAGAAATTTTTAAGGAAATATATAGAGTCTTTTTTTTGTCAGCTCCAGGTTATTCAGAAAGCACCATATTGCTCACTAGTTTTAGACTAAAAAATAATTTAAAAAGAAAATCCAAATTGTCTTTGGCAAACACTGTAAGTCTTGTGATTCCACAGTTGGTCTCTTCTCTTCTTTTTACTCCATGTTGCTGTGAGACGTATTGTTCTTGTTTGTACTTTATGATCTTTTAAATACTTTTTGTATTTATATTGTGTGACATCTTTTTCAAATGTGTAATACAAATGTTCAGTTATACAGAATAGGCTGTTCCATATCCGTGCAGCTAAATTGGCACCAAAAAATAAAAAAATATGAGAAGTCTGCCAAGCAAACTAAACTTCCAGCAATGATATACACAAAATGAGGATGAGAGATGAGGAAAAGCTCCAGTAATTAGGAGGACAATAGAAGTAGAGCATTTGAGTATTTAATCCATCCTTCTTCTCTCATGATGCATCTTCACATGATAGCAGTTGTTCAGCAGTCCTGCACATTCTACCTACTGGATCACCTTTCTTTAAAACATTTGTCAAGTTCAAAAGGATACAGTTCATCCACTTTTTGACCTGTTATCATAACATTTTCAAATTAGTTTCTGACATATGCACATTTTTAGATCCATTTTTTCTGTTTCAGGGCTCTACTGTGGCTCGAGAAGCCAGTGACAAAGAAAAGGTATGGTGCATTTCTGTTTATTTTTCAATTAATTAACCTTCTAGCTAGACTCAGAACAAACATAACTAATGCTGTTCTGACCCTTTCCTCTTTTTTCTGCCATATTCTTCCCTCTTGAGTTCTACCTTATCCCTCCTTTATCTGTCCTCTATTTCCTGCAGACCTTTGAATATTGGTTTGCAAAGGTGTTGTAATTTCAGAGGTAAGTGAGCCAATCCTTTACCTCCTCCTTTCCTTTTCTCTTAGTTTCTTCAGGGCCTGCCCTGTGCTAGGAAAATATCATAAATTTGTTCCCTTCTCTCTCATCTACTTTCTCTTCCTTTTAATATTGAGATTTATGAATACTCCATGTCAGTTAAAGGAATTATGTGATGGGGCACCACTTCTAAACTGAGTGCGAGGATGAACCAAACCTTGAATTAAGAGAACCCTTGGGTATGTGAAGTTCATACAATTGAGCAGGTGACTGACAGACTTAGATGTACATGTAATGAGAGACAGTTTCCCTCAAATTCTGGGCTGAAACTGCTCTAAAGAGAAATAGATTGCTTTATTTTTTCTTCACCTCCAACTTCAGTTCTTTTGGAAAATTTAATGTTCTCAGTTTTTCTTTGTGGTTTTAGCAAAATAGCCAGATGGCATTTTAGGAGAGGTTTCTCTGGAGATTCTACAGATAATTGGAAGTGTAACATAGTCTCCATCATGTAAGACTTCTTAGATCTCAAATTTGGACAAGGTCTAACAATCCATGGCCTTTGTTTTCTTAATTTGTCCAAGCACATTCCTCCTGAATTAGCATGAGATCGTCCAGGAGTTCACTTAAGAGACTTCATTTTCTGTTGTTCCCTAATTCCATTCAGATCATTTATTTTTCTCCTAAGCAGTAGTTGTACCATACCTACCTCTCTGAGTCTTCTACAGATCACATAACTGCACTAAATGAGTAAGGGACATGCAGTAGCTGTCAATTCTCACTGTATGAAAAACTCTGCCAGGTTTTTCCACCTTTCCCAAGGCATGATGGAACACTAAAATTCTTTTTAGCATTAGGCAATACCACAGCCCCACCTGCAAGCTTCAGTTACCATTGCCAGCAATAGCTATCTTCTGCTGTACCAGGCCCTCAAGATCATGTCTTGAATGGTCTCCTTTCTTTCTTTCATCATCTGTTTTTGTTCTTGTTTAGTGGCAACTGTAGTGTTTTTAATGTGCAGGGAGTAACCCTTCGTTGTCTTACAAGCAATACCTAATGTCATTGAAAACCTCTGCTGTACTATTAAAACAATCTGATAGAAAGGATGAGGACAAGTTGTTTGGATGGGACTGCTTTAGGTTGCAACATTAATGCTTGGACTAGTAACAAAAATTATAAATATTATATGCAGTCAGCTCTACAGGAGCTGATGCTATACAGATGTTTAACAAAGTAGTTTTGAGCAATTTCTGGAATATGCCTTGTAATAATAAATAGATTAGTACTAGTACACATATATTGTAGTTAATACGTTGAGTGAGAACCTTAAAGAAACAGTGCCTTAATTTTGCTCCTGTGTAAGTTCATGGCAGAATTACTATTGAACTTGATTATAGATAAATTGAAACAAATTTGTGTAGTTTTATATAACTGCATAGAACAATTGTTCTGTAAATTTAATGTGAAATCATAACTTCCATAAGGCAGATAACCACAATTCTTATCAACTTCACATCTAGAACTTTCCCTTTGATTTTGAGTACTTCTCTGAAAATAAATGCATAAAAGCCTCGTCCCCCTAATTCTTATCCTGGTGTTTTCATGGTTTGATTTCTTGGGGCTGGAACTGCACAAAGGCTATTGATGTTGTAAGCAGACAGTCTGAAGCTTCTGAAACAGCTTTCTGTGACTTGTCATTCCCCTCGAACCCCGGTGCAATGTAGCAGGGCAGTGACAAACTTGCATCCAGAAAAAAGATTTCTAAGAAAGGAAATTATTAGGTAGGCTTCTACATTTATAGAGTGAACAACATTTTACACTTTGAGACTCTTTGAGATTCAAATAAGGGAAATTTAGTATTTTGCTTATTGCATGGGTTTTAAGTTTTGGAGTCTGCTGTTTGATTTGAAAGGGCCAGAATACATTTTGCTTGTGGATTGCAGATGTTCAGAAGATTTGTCATCACTATGATCTGAATCTCCTGCAGTAGGCATGACAACAGATTTATTCATGTAGACTACTCAAATCTAACACAGAATTTTTAGGTTTAGATTAGAAGAGTGTTGTATATTTAAATGAGGAGACAAGGAAAGTTTGGTTCTGAAACTTTGAGCAGTGCTGAAGAGCTGCTGTCATGAGAGGTATCTCTGCACATGTGCCACTGATTTCAGGACCTGAGGACTCTCTTGACCTGAAGAAGTAAATGATCCATTATTCCTGACTGGCAGCTGGAGCCCTGTAGCGTGGTTTTTTACTTCTGTTTTCTCTTAAGTAGATGTCAGTGTTTCAAACTTTTTGTTGTCATCTGTGAGAATCTCAAATCCATCTTGAGCTTTGAAAATAACTGGAAAGATTTTACTTGCAAGGTGGGGGGGGATGTATTTTAGCAAATTCTCTAAAGAGATTTTTTGGCATCTCCATCCATTTCCAGAAGAAACTGCCCTGAGGGATTAAACAAAACCAGACAATCTGAAAACCTGTGCTGGTGTAGTAAATTATTAGCTAATTTTTAGCCAGATGCAAGCTAAATCATCAATTTATTAATATTATCTAGAAATGACATTAATATTAATAAATTTCACTTAGTGGCAGTATAATTACTTATTATAACTGTATGGCACACACGTGAGAGTAATAAAAGAAGCTTTTAGTACAAAAATGTATGGGTAAATTGTCTGGCAATGGCTAGTTTTTAAGTGGGCTTTTAAGTAATTCATAATGAGTTTCAAATGACAACATTCAAGTAATCAATTGGTTTTCAGAACATCAAGCATAATATTTTCTCTTAAAGCTGCAGAAGAGCAAGGTCTTTCAGTCACATTCTGTAAATTTTAGATAAACTTCATCAAATTTGCCTTTACAAAGTAATTTATGTTGAATCTTCTTCCTATCATACTAAAAGTTATTTATTCAGTTAGTAGAGACAAATATGCAAAAAGATTTAATGGATAAAAAATCTGAGAAAACAGTGTAGTTCTACTTTAGCTTGGTAGTGTAAAAGAGGAATTACTATTCAAACATTTTTTTAAATCAGTTTTTTTGGATGAAAAGTTGCCTGATTGATTGTTTGCTGTTTACCTTCTGTTTGACTGTGTTCAGCTGTTTAATATCCTAACATATGGATGAGCAGTTCCAAAACTGTCATTTCAATATTTTGTGATAATCAGTGCAGAAACAAGCACCAATCTTTTAAATTTCACCTGAACACACAATTCCTTTCATTTTTGTTACAAATTATACTTTTTGTAATAAAGACATCACTTTCTTGGCAACATGTATCATAACGTACAGATGCCTTGGATTTTAAAAGAACATTATGTTTCAACAGTTGTCAAATTCTGACAGCTGCTCCTTTTTACTTTTTGGGCTTTACTAGTCTTTTTTACATTTTTATTATTTTAATAGTGGACATCTTCTATTCATTCTTTGGACAGTTTTGCCCTCTCAAGTGAAATGAGGATAATGCAGAACTCCCCTGGTGGTCTAGCTGCTCACAATTACGCCGTACTTGCAGTACAACATCAAATTAGCAGTAACAGCTGAGTCTACTTCTTCTGATAAAAGAATCTAAGCTCTTGCTTCTGAGTGAGCAGTGCAGAAAGAAATTTGAAGAAGAAAAATAAGTCCTAGCTGAACTGGTGCCCACCACATTTCATCTTTCTCAAACAATTTGAGAGATTAGCACAGGTTTTTAAATCAATCTAAAACTGGTTGCATTCCCACCTCTATAGTATGTGTTGTTTCATAAATCATCATTCATAAGTGCAGTAAAATTATAGTCAATACAATTGAATAAAGGATTTTCTATTCAAGTTTCTTTTGGAAAAAAGATTGCCATAGCTGACAGCTATGTTACATCTTAATTAAATTGTATGCAAAATACATAGCTATGATAACTAGATTGGAAGTTGTCACTAATCGTTAGCTTTGTGTTTATATATTACAACATATAGTAATTAACTGATTTCTGAGAGGAAAGTATAACCTGAGGAAGAAGGGCTTTAGTAGAGGAGCATAGGAACAAGATCACTCAGTCTTGACTCTGGTTCTTTTTTACTTTTGGTGTCACAATGTAAAACATTATCCAAGGTAGATCATTCCAAAATCTAAGCTATTTTTTTCTGTTGTTTTAGAATTACTAATGCCAGAACATTTTTTGTACTTATCTTTTATTAGTGATTTCAGTCCACTTCATGTGCTGATCTTGTGAAGTGTCTGACATTTATCTGTGAAATTAATCTAAACATTGCAATGTACAGAGATTATAGCTTTCAAAACATCACACTCCAAAGACAGGGAAAGACATTCAGGGGTTTGATTTCAGCATTTAGCTTTCTCATGACACCAACCTCACTACAGTTTTTCAAAACAAATCACTAATTAGCCTTTGTTTGGTTTTGAGGGGTGGGGGTGTTTTGGTTTGTTTTGGTTTTGGAGTCTGCTTTTAATTTGTTAAAGGAATTTTAAAAGTAACAGGGGAATTTTGTGTTGCATTGTATATGTTGCATGTTCATTTTGCAGCAGGAAGACATTAATGCTGGGGATAATTCTGGATGCATTTCCTTGAGCATTGAAAAGACAGTTTCTATTTTGGTACAAGCCTGAGTACTTAACCCTTCTACAGCATCCTGCACAATTCTTTTTTTTACTACTGACTAAAGTCATTCCAATTTTTCCCCTTAAACACTATTTTGGGGTTACAGCTCTATTTCTATTGCCTTTTACAGATATATGATGTCAAGTTAAGCTGCAGAATCTTTGTATAGGAACCCCTGTTTAGGGCAAGGCAATTTGTACAACAAAAGTTTGGACCCAGCTCACAGAACGATTGGAGGCAAGAAACTGCATAATTCTAAAGGAAGCTATTCTTCCCTCTTGTAGATCTAGTGACTCCAGAGTTTTGATTCAATTCAAAATTACCTGTTCGAAATTATTGCAAACTATATTTAGTATTATAGCCCTTTTTTCCCCAAACACTGCCTTCCAGTACTTAAAAAAATCAAGGTATATGTGGGCCATTTGCTGTTAAAAAAGTCCAGGGTGTGGACCTTCAATCTTGGCAGATGTTTTACATGATTTTCAAAAGTTATGAGTTGTAGGCCAAATTTTTCCATGATTAGCTGTGTGAATAATGTGACTTGTGGCTAGTTCCAGAGAAAAAATAAGGCTGCTATGCAACATTTCTCCTAAAACCTAAATCTTGTCATTGTTAGATAATTAGAAATTGCTGCCAAGTCATGAGGACAATTAGTCTTTCTTCCTTTTTCAGTCACTTATTTGGAAACTTACCTGACCTACAGCTGTTTTAGCAAGCTGCTTCCAAAATGCCAGCATTAATGTTAGCTATGACCATTAATTTGATGTCATGATGCATACAAAATCCCTTTGGGGGTAACAAAATTGCTAATATTCATTTCAACTCATTAGGATAGGATGCTGAATTGAGATGTCCTAAGAAGTATACAAAAGCTGTTACCATGTTCATCTAGAAAATAAAACTTCCCCTGGTTCTTACATTCCAAGTTTTTTTTAATTCAAAACAGTATCAGCTCTTACACTATACTTTTATTTTGAATGAGGCTTTACACATTCCGTCATCTTAGTTACTAAGAAATCTTTATTGATTTTTTTAGCCTTTCAAAGGCAGTGAAATCTTCCTGCCATTAAAATTCTCTGTGACCATGGCAAACCTTGGAATGCAAACCTGAAGTGTGCTGATAACATGCTTTTTTAATAAATAGATGTTATATATTTGTAAAATCTGTTGTGCCTTTCTTGCATATTTAAGTAGGAGATTAAAAACAGTGGAGGTGGTTCAGAAAGAAAATCTATTATTAATTTAATGGAAGTAGTTAGATGCTCATCTCCTGTGCAGCTCTTAAAATATTTAGTTCTTTAATGACAGTAATATGTTCATTATAATGAATTACATTCTAGGAGAATCATTTTCCAACAACGATTTTGCTTCATTGGAAATATTTGAGACATCATAAAAAATTAACTATATCAATTATTTCATTAAAGCAAAGCTTCAATTTTTTTTCAATCAGATAATGTTCTAAACTGCCACAATGTGATTCTATTTGTGTTTATTTCAGCATGTAAGAAATGAACATAGTGGGATTTTTCAACATGAATGAATGTGTTATTAATTTGGCATAACTACAAGAGCCCCTCCTAGCTGAATATTTCATAGGTTTTGATTCTTAGATTCACAAATCAATTTTAAGACAAATTTCAATTAAAGTACTACTAGAATCACTTCTACCAATGGCTGTCATTAGTAATATGTAGGACTACAACAGTATCCTAGGGCTATTCAGCTTCAAATAAATAGGGAGAATAATATTGCCTACTACAAAAAGAAAAAAAAATAAAATAAAATAAAAAGAAAAAAAAGCTTTGTCTAGTAACATCTAGAAAGAAGAGGGAAGAGAATAGGCTGGGAGGCTGGGAGGCATCATGCAAATAATGTAGTGAGGGCAGCCACTGGGATAGAGCTTTTTAGCTTCAGTTGCTTTTAACTTACATGGTTCTACACTTGCCAGGTCTTTACAACTATGGGTATTTGGGTGAATAAAAATTACCTCAGATAAATATTGTCAGAGGGATGATGGTGGACTGGGGGAACCTGCATACAAGGCAGTGAAGAGTGGCTTTGTAGGAGTGCTGACTCGCTGCCCAGAATGTCCTTGGGAGTGCCCCTTGGGGATTGTGATGACAGGCAAGAACTGCAGCAGTGTCAGCTTTGCTAGCCCGTTTCTGTTAGAAACAGGTTAGGGACAAGGTTAAAGTGAAGTATGGCACTTGCAGAGCTGGTTTTCCAGTGCTAGCATCTTCCAAAGAAGACACTGCTTGTAATTTTAGTTTATTTTTACCACCAGAGGACTGTCCTCGGTGGGAGGCAGCTTCCCCTCACAGCCCTGCCGGTGTCACTGGGGCTGTGCTCTGCGGGAAGCCTGCGGCAGAGCCTAGAGGCAAACAAGCATCTCAGCATCTTAACCACAAGCACATCCTCCCTCTGTGCTCACCCTCCTGCTTTAAACAGCACTAATGGGGGGGGGAGGGGGTTCTGTGTTAATGGGTTTGTTTCACTTTAACCTCTGCCTAATTTAATCAATAACTTGGATATACTAGGTGGAAAAATAATCTGGGGATTTTTTTTTTTAAGTCATTTTGGGCTAAAAATGAAGGAAGCTTGGTTTCCTGCATTCTTTTCATTATTGCTTCATCTTAAATTATTTCATCCAAATCTCCTCTCCATTCTTAAGCATCCCACACACTGGATTCCATCCTCCAGTGTTGGCAACATCCCTGGATCCACAGTCCCGCCTCTGTGGAATTAGCCCTGTCCATGGGACACTCTGCTCAATTAAGTATGGTAATCTCTACAGCTGTTAGCCTGGAAAGCTTATCTGATGTTACCCCTGCTTGTTTTCGTCCTAAACCTCTTACTGAGTAGTCCAGAAAGAAAATCAATACATACTGTGCAGTCATATTGTGGTAAACAATTCATTGTGAGCTTCAAAAAGTGTCCAGCAATGTTTTTGAGTAAAGCAGGAGAGCACTGCTGAACGACTCCTCCTTGGAAGCGGAGTCTGGGATGGATGAATGCTTTTAGCTCCATCTCAGCTGCTTGGGTGTTTGCTTATTTTTTTTAATATAAATAGATTATTGCTATTAGAGGGTATTTTAATGTATCAGAATGTTCTAGATGCTAGACAATAATAATTCAGAGCAGCCAGACTATGACATTATTTTTTTCAAACATCCTAGGTATCAGGATGCCATGGATTTATTAATTGATTTGTAATTGTTATGATGTTACAATGTAACTGTTGCAATTTTGCATGTGGTTTTGAGCAGTTATTGGAAGAAAAGGATCACTTTTCTAAACAAAAGTAGCATTGTGGGATCTCAAGGAATTGGCAAATTTCAGATCCAAAAAATTAATTTAGACAGTTGAAGAGCTGAGTATTTTGGCTACCCCAGTGCACACAGGCCAATGAAAGAAAAAGAACTTTTGGCCATTGTGAAGATCTATGAGGGCCTTTGGGAGTCTGCTGTGGTGCTCACATTTTAATGCTTTCCAAGATACACGTATTGGAGTAGAGGAAAGAAGCTCTCAGGTTCTTTTCCTTGCTGTGTCATAGGAAGAAAATAAACTTTATGAAAAATGCCATCTCCAGTAAGATTATAAGCAATGTCTGACTACTTAAACTTATGGAGGATGTTCCTGTAGGCTGATGTTAGCTGCCTTTTATTCCTAGCAGAAGGACTTTCAGATTAAGGGGAAATTATTTTATTCAGGGTACTCATTAGTTCTTGGCCATTGACTGTTCATAGGAATTGAAGCACTGGTTGTTCTGTAACATTTTCTTTGTAAAGGAAACCTGTTCTTCCATACTATTGATTAAAAGTAGGGCAGAGAGAAAGGCTGTTCATTGCTCTTAATGGGCCAATTTTTTAATTTTGGAGGAGTTAGTATTACTTCCAGCTTGCTTGACCAAATGTCCTGAAGGAACTGCTCTTTTGTTTATCAGTTTGCTAGGGCTTTTTGAGTAAACTTCCAGTCACTGCCCATTGAAAACAGACCCCATTTGAGGTGTTGCAAATCACTTCATGAGGGAGTTGAAGATGAAGGTAATCAAGTTGCTCCAACATCAAGAATATTAATTTAATTACATATTGAAGAGGCAGTGGTCTTCTCTGGCATTTGCTACTTTTAAGCAGAATTTCATGACTCAATATTCATTTGATGCTTTCCAATGATTATTTGGTATTAGGCACTTGAAAACATTCTCAGTAGTTGTGCAAATGCAATCCTGTCTAGCATCCTCTGTCGGACCTGATGCAGGCCCTTTGTTATCAGGGTTAGATTGTTTTAACTTCACTTACTGCCAGTCGCTTTGAGAAGTGACATCTTTGAAGAATCTCGATGCAAATCAGTGTTCAGTGCAAATCTGGTACTGAGTGGAGATTTTGTCCTTGGTGCATTTGCTGCCAAGTTAACACATACCTTTTAGGCTGTTTCCAGGAGGGGTAAGGTGAGCAAAGAGCTCTGTGGGTGCAGTTATGGAGGGCTGTGTGCCATGGAGGAGAGGCAGCTCAGGGGTGCCTTCTCAGGCACAGGGCCAACAGCTTCACCACACTCCTCTTTACAATCCTGCTCTTACAGGAATTTTGGTTTGTTTTAGGCCAAAGAGCTGCCGACGTTCAAAGACAATGATTTTATTAATGATGGCCAAAAGATTCATATTGATGAGAATAACAAAAAGATGTTCCTTGAGAAACTCAAGAAAGATGTTGAGGTAAGAATGTGTATGTTCAGTTACAAGTGATTAAAATGTGTGGCAAATTATGGATATCCCAGGAAATCATACCTGTAATTCATTAATAAAAGCTCTTGTTTATAAAACTGTAAACACTGACTGTTTTATATGAAACACAATTTAAACTTTCAGGAGTTGATCACTGCTTTGCTGATGTGATAAATGGCTTGCTGCCATAGCTGGTTGCCATACATTGTTCCTGCCTTGATGATGTGATGTTAAAATGATGGTACTGCTTAGTACTTAAATGCTTTACAAGCCTAGTGCTTCCAAATGCCCCTGAGAGAGAGGTGAGTATTGTAGCTGTATTTTACAGGTGGAGGTCCACCAGAGCTAAGGCCAAATAAGAACTGTAGTCCATAACAGAGATGGGGCATCTCCCCTGCTCACAGCTGTTCATGCCCTCTTTGTTTCATATTAGAAATCCAGTTTTAAATCATTCATATCACAACAGTAGAGTACTTCAGCAATCTAAATACAGCAATTGGATTCTCATTATCTTAATGTAGTCTTTCATATAAATTTGTACTTTACTTGGCTGAATATAGTATATACTTGAAAGAAAAGTGTTAATGTATGAATTTAATTAAATATTTTTACTGGTTTTGTTCATATAATAAATATCGGACTAACTTGTTCACACAACTTGCCTTTAGTTTGCATAATTTAAAATATTTTTCCTAAACACAGTATTTTGCAGCTTTATACTCAAAAACTAAAATCTGTTTTCAAGTAAAAAGGCAGATTTGGAAGAGACTTTGTAGCAAAATGTGTCTGTGACTTAATAAGACTTTCAGCGATTTATATCAAAAGAGCTCTGTGAATTGACTTTCCAAATTCTTCAGGTTTTATCTCATTAGCTGTACATAACAAAATACTGTTACTTTAGAATTTACCCAGTAATTTGCTTCTGAGGAAATTCTGAGGAAATCATAATAACAATGGAAAATTTATGGTGGTGAGGACGATGAAAACATAAATACTTTGTGAAATATCAGTGTGTGTTTATTTTATACTTAAAATATTGTGCTCTACTGATGTCACAGCTCTAGAGATAAATTTTTTTGAGTTAAAATTTTATGCTCTTTTAACATGTACTGCTGTTGCTGACTACTGCTTTTACAGCAAGTAGGTTGCAGATAATATCTTGAGTGTGTGGAAGAAATGTGTAAGATACTTTCTTACCCTGAAAAGTAGATTGTGTATGATCTATATCATTTACCATACTGGGAATATAATGGCAGATTCCAGATAATTACTTGAGAGGTTGCTTTTATGGGTTTGAAGTTTATACAGAGAAATGTTTAATATCCATGTAAACCACTAGTGTGAAGCGATCTGGCTCCTGATTTTGACAATGGCAAGCTATTCTTTAACCTTGTTTTTCTTTTGTTGGTTCTTTTTGCTCTTATTAGGTAACTGATGGACACACTTTGTAACCAATGTGTAAAAGCTCACATTGCACTACAATGAAAATAAATGCACAACACTTAGTATATTATTATCTTACCAGACAGTATTTATAGTTAAACATATCATGAAGTACTAGTCTGAGCTATATAGCTTTATATCTGTTCTTGGGTTTTGTTAAGCTTTGTTTCTATATTTCTTTCTTAATCAAGTCCTATGTCCCCTTCCTGTGTTCAAACACAAGTTATTATTGCTCTTTTGATGTTTCTTTGTCTATTTTCCCATCTCCTTATTCCATTGCGGGTATCCTGAGAAAAACTACTAATTTTTTTCCATTTAAAATCAGATTTTTTTTCCTTGTGCTGATCTCCCTAAACCTTCTTGTTGTTAGCAGCAGCACACTTTTTTCCAAGAGCCATTCTCTTCTAATTTGTAGCTCACTGTTTTTTTCCCAAGTCTCCATTCTCTTTCATTCTGTTCTGTATTATTATTGGTAGATTTTTTTTTCCCTTTGTATTTACCAAGTAGTGAATAATGTGCCTGGAGTTCTTCCACCTATTGCCTGCCTTTGGCCAGTCTCATTTGTTTGTCTTGTATATTGTTGTGCATCATCTCTTCAAACTTAGATCCCTTCCAGTCTTGTGAGAGTCTATTGTTTTATCATGTTGAAATAAATTATACTGAAATTATTAAAAAGCAGATTATTCTTCTTAAAATCTCCTCTCAATCTCACAATAATTCTTCTAGCACTTGCATTTACAGTTATGTCCAGCTCATCTCTTTTCTCAGAATCAGATTTTGACAAACTGGAGTTTCTCATTACCTAGTATTTTATCTTTTTCATCCCAATAACTCTCTCTGTGCCAAAGTCTAGCTCAAATGCCTTCTTCCCTGGTCTGGTCTAACTTCCTTTTTATAAACACTTAACGTTTCTAAAAACTGAAGCAATTTTTATTTTCAGCCACTTTCTCTGCATACCACAAGCATGGGTTTCACAAGTTTGAAATCACAGTATTGGTTTTAATCTGCAGCACAGCTCTGTCCTGCCTATCCTTGACCCCCTTGAGCTGTTTATCCCATTTTCCTGCTTTTATACCTTCATTATTTCCATATTCCTCTTTCTGCCTTATCCTGTTCTCCTCAACTAAAATAACTCTGTCTGTACATCTTCCAATTTCCTAAAATCTTCCATCCTTATTCTTTATTCAAAACCACGCTTTCATTCACATACGTGTTTTACTTTTGTGATGTAAATCATGAGGCTGTCACTGTGAAGAGAATACAACATTATTTCATGTCTTCAGGGTGTAAAACTTCACAGCTTTCCACTGCAAGAATATTTGAACATTTTTTCATGATTCTTTAACAAGACTTAAAAGGGATTGAGAGGGTGAGTTCAGCACCAGATCATAGCATGCTCTACACCTGATAGCACAGAGGCTGCTTTGGTCACTGAGCAGTGACAGAGCAGTCCCCACCTCAAGTGCTGTGTGTGGTCTTGGGCACCACAGCATAAGGAAGCTGTCCAAAGGAGGGCACAGAGGATGGTGCCGCAGCAGGAAGCCTGAAGAGTTCAAGAAGCATTTGGTTGATATTCTCAGGCACATGGTGTGACTCTTGGGAGTGTTTCTGTACAGCAGGGCCAAGAGTTGCACTTGATGATCCTTGGGGGTCACTTCCAACTCAGGCTATTCTATGAATCTAATTTGTGTCGGCTTGCAAGCACACTGCTCGTCACTACTCACAGTTTTTTTTCCCAAAAGGCTTTTGGAAGAGTGGGCTACAGAATAAGTTTCAAGTAATTTGTGTGCTGCTAATACATTTTAGTAAAATTAGGTATTTGTTTGCCAGCTTTATCATTTAATCTTACCTTTTGCTCTCTCAGAAGTGCCTTAGAAATTTTTCTCAACTGGTGATACCTTTTTGTAAGAGGAGCTTATGTTTTTCAGCAATATTGACAGACTGCTTATTATCGCTTTCTAGTTCCTTGCTCAGTTAAAACTCATGGACTACAGCTTGCTGGTTGGAATTCATGATGTTGAAAGAGCTGAACAGGAAGAAATAGAGTGTGAAGAGAATGATGGAGAAGAAGAAGGTGAAAGTGATGGGACCCACCCCATTGGAACCCCTCCAGACAGTCCAGGAAATACATTGAACAGCTCACTGCCTTTGGCTCCAGGGGAATTTGATCCAGCTATTGATGTTTATGGAATAAAATCCCATGAAAGTAAGCAGTAAGAAATGTTTTTATGTTAAAGTGGTTCAATTCTTGCATCAGAATTCTGAAACCCTCACAACCATGTAAAGGTAAATATAAACTGAAAAACAGAAGTTTGCTCTCTGGAAAAGGAAATTTGCTCTTTGGCAGCAGAAAGGAGAAGATTTCTATAATGCTTAGCTATTCTTGTTCACCAGTTCTTCAGCAGTTAATTCATGGGGTTTTCATCCTTTTCAGGAAGTCTAGTATCTATAATTGGTCTTTTCAGGCTGATAACACTGTTAAACACAGTCTAAAAAGAATGAGAAAAGCAGCATTCCAAGTTATATTTCAATTTTTGGTTGCTTTTTGAAAATTCATGCATTCATACCCGATTTCTGTGTTGTAGCTAAGAAAGTCATCATAAGGAGCATGTAAGAAGCCTGAAACTGAGTTTAATGTTGGTGTGTAAAATTGTGTAACTGGGTGCCTGTGTCTATTCAATACAGGGAAGTTACCTTTTCTTTTTGTTTATAAGTACTGACATGGAAAAATGCATGGTTTTATTCATAAAGAAAATATGATCTTAAGTGCATCAAAGGAAGTTTATGTTAGATATCAGGAAAAAGTTCTTCACTGAAAGTTTTATTGGACACTGGAATCGTCTGCCTAGGGACATGGTGGAGTTACCATCCCTGGACATGTTTTAAAAAAAGACTGGATGTTGCACTCAGTGCCATGTTTCAGTTGATGAGGAGGTGTTAGGTCATAGGTTGGGCTTGATCTCAAAGGTCTTTTCAAGCCTACTTCATTCTTTAATTCTCTTTGTTGACTCAGAAGCATTACCTTTCATATCAAGCTTCATAGTGTTTCCACGAAGATGAAATCCACATTACCTTAACTGAGCAATAATTCCTATTTCTGTATGCTAGTTTTTTATTGTACAGTCATTTAGAGGATTTTGCATTATATATGAGTGCAGTTAAACTCTGAATTAAGGACAGCTTGAGCTTGTGTTTTTTACACATCTTGATTATGACTGACGCTGACCTGTCTTAGCTGCTGATTGAGTCATACCAAGTCTCCTTTGTTAGAAGGAGGACTCGTTGTTAGGATGTGTCAGAAGTCCTTACTGCCCTGCTTGCTGTTGGCAGATGCTCCCAGGAAGGAGGTGTACTTCATGGCCATTATTGACATTCTTACTCATTATGATGCAAAAAAGAAAGCTGCCCATGCTGCAAAGACAGTAAAGCATGGGGTAAGTATCTGGGTTGGTTTCTTCCTCTTACTCCGTTTATATTCATGCATTTTTGTGTAGTGCCCTGATACTGGACAGTTCAGTAAAGCTAGGGAAAGGGGAAATAAATCAGAACTTTCTTCAATTCTTTTCAAGTTTAATGTTCAATAAAAATTTATGGAGTAGCTGCTACACATTACATACTGAGAGTGGAACTCCTTTTTCAGCTGTGTGCACAGCTTTCTCACCCACAAAGAACTCTAGTGAGATGCTTTTTAAGACTTTGTCCTAAATTTGTGAGATGCACCTTATTCTTGTTAACAAAGCTGTTCACCACTCTATGAAAGCTGTCTTGAATCCAATTTCAGATGCAGGGCCCTAATGATGGTTTCATTGTTTGGTTCAGCCTGCTGAAAGTTAGTTCTTCAGCATATCACATGGCTCACCCTAGAAGACTTCTTCAGAAAAAAAGTACAATTTACAAAATTAGGCATAAAAATAGCATTTACATATTAAATACTCAGAGGTTGTTCAGGGAAGGCTTCTTCTTGATTGTCATTATTTAATTTTGACTGAAATTGCTGCTGAGCAGTAGACACTAAAGAACCGTGGTGAAACAGCCCAGTCTTCCAGATTAATGACTTATGTCTACTGTTATCACTCCTGTGGTGATTTAATGTTCAAATTTCATAAACTTCTTAAAAAGAGCATATTCATTCATGAGGCTTAAATCCCTCCTGTGTCTAAGTAGCTGAAGGGTCAGGGCATTGTGAGAAATTTTAGGCAAAGGGCTCTGGGCTTTTTAGTTACAGTAGAGAATGATGTGACCTGCAAAGGCCTGTAGGAGGTATTTTTTTGTCTCTCTAAAGCAATGCTCTCATTACTCTCTGCTTTCTGGGCAGCTGAAAGTTGATGCAGACCATATGCAGCCATTATCTGGCAGTTATTACTGAACGTTGAAAATAGCAGACTTTAAAAGCTCACACTTCTGGCTTAAATAACAGATAGAAATATGTTGTGTGTAACAGCTATGATTATTGAAGCTGATTGTGATTAGAATTTATTACAGAACATTACTTTCATACATTCATTTTATTTCTCTGTCTCCATTCTGAGCCACATGATACTGAAGTTCGTTCATTAATTGTATGCATGCAATTGTCCTCTTTTCTAAACAGGAAAAATAGAAATAAAAATGTGGGTAAGGCTCTGAAAAACTCAAGTAAAGATATGAATGAAATCGTTATTTCATTGAAATAACAATCCTTGGTTTTAATCTGCAGCACAGCTCTGTCCTGCCTATCCTTGACCCCCTTGAGTTTATTCAGTGAGTCCAGATTTAAATGCATAAATGTTGAAAAAGTGTTACTTTTGCCATGTATTTCAAACCAGGCTATGTAGCATTCAGGTAACATACATGTTACACAACTGTTGACATGCCAGATATAAGTATGGCAATTCAGTCTTCTCTGTATGAAGGCACTGCTGCTCTAGAGACCAGAATCTGCTGGTGAATCAGTAGGTAGCATGGCTAATGTGCTGTAAAAATTCATATAGAAGACTGAAGTACAATGAAAATAAGAGAATCATAGAAAGTAAAAAGAAAATTTTTCAGAAATGGAAGATAGCTGTCACAGGAGTGAGTACTGATTATCAGTGTCCTTCTGTGAAGCCTAAAAAGGCACCAGTAAGATTCTGCTTGAGGGCCACAATTTACAGTTTGAGTTTCTAGTCTCTGGTTCTGAAAACTGCACGTGAAATTTATTAACATCCTCAATGCCAAAAGCATCAAATAAAACCCTGGTTCTTCCTTCTTTCTTCTCTTGTCCCAATTCTCTTTATAGGCCGGTGCAGAAATTTCAACTGTTAATCCAGAACAGTATTCAAAGCGCTTCTTGGACTTTATTGCCAACATCTTGACGTAACCTATCATGTTACATAGGACAGACATGAGACCTGGGGACAGCAGCAGTGGCTACAAGTGTAGGGAAAAAAAGGAACTCAAGAGAAGCACTCATCTTACAGAAAGCAACCCCTTTGTTTACATCTGCTGGCAAAGATGACTGAAGTGGGGTGGAGTACTCGCTTTAACAGCTGCCTGATATTCCCAGCATAGTTCTAGCTATTTCTGACTCTTTTGTGTGAAAAAAAAAAAAAAAAAAGAAAAATTAAAATAATTTAAATAAATAGAACAGCTTACTCAGAGTGCACTGTGACAGTAATACTCTGATGCTACCAGCTGAAATGGAATAAATGAGCAAAGAGGTGTGGGGTGGGGGTGGGGAAGAGTAAATGCATGTTAAATCTACAATATTGATATCAAATTGTAAACTGTGGATCAGTTTATATTTTGAAAAAGATACATGACAGTATTCTTCATGATGATGATGGCGATAATAATGAAGACCTTACTGCGAATGTTACACTTACACCCTGCACACTGGCACTCCTTAAAAACAGCTGCAACAGCCCTTGTGCCGGAGGCTTTTCCCATTTGGTTCCTAGCAGTTGGGTTTTCTCCTTTTCTTTCCTCTCTCTCCTGTTTTTTGTCTTCTTTTTCAGCACATTGCATCAGGAAGTTCAGCCTCTCAGGCATCTGAGAGCTGGCATCTCTTACCTAACAAAGAGCTAACATAATTCATGCTATGTGTACATTTTTGCTATAGTAAACTTACGTTAAGGGAAAACTGCTTATTTCTTTTTGTTACCTGAGGTTTTCATTTGTTTTATATTCTGCAATATAGGAACTAATAATGTTACAAGTGTAAAAGTAGCTTATCTGAAGAAGCGCATGGTTTTGGGCAATAGTAGCTCCATCTTCTACCCATCCTGAAAGATGTGCACACTGATAGAAATTCCATTCCCTTGTAATTTACTGGGAATTTGAAGTTTAAATTGCTTATGTTGTACTGTTGAAATAGCGGTATTTTATTATAGATTATCCCTTGAAAAATGAACCCTGAATTTTACTGTTTACATTATTAGGAAAGCAGGGATATTTCTGAATTTCAGAGCCGTGTACAATATAAGACTTTTGAGTTTACATGTAAAGTTATTTTGCAGTACAAATGAAGTAATGTTTGTCATCTTCCAAGAGGTAATATGCAGTAGTGTACTAAAGTGAATGTCTCTCTCACCTCCATGTGGACTCTTTTACAATAAAATGCAAAAGGATATTTTGGAGGGAATTTTCCCAAGGTTGTCTTTCAGCATCAAAATGACCTGTCCTACCATTTATTCAATTTTGATTGTATAGTACATTGCCTGAAACTGTGCTGATCATGTTTAACTTGTTTAAAATTTTTAAACACTGTATTCCTTCTCCTCTTGTATTTTTCCCTGAAAGACTCCATGCTTGAAAGAGACAAATTTACATATGCTTAAAAGTTTATCTACTTATACACTGTGCTAAAGCTGTGCCTTTGAAATTTCTTTATTGAAATTGTTAGATTTTGTAGGCAACATAAGAGAAGTCAAACCTCCCTCTCATCATTTCTAACTGGGATCAGGAGTGCCAGCATGCCTTCTCCATAACCAGTGTCAGTGCTGCTCAGCCTGCAACTGTGCATAACCTGTGTTGTGGTTCACTTCAGAGGAGCCCCTGCAACAGCAACCCCTTAAATACACTTTCAGCGGCCAAAGGCAATACTGTCCCTGTTGCTGTGTACTAATTTTTCTTCCTTTCCCCAACCTTTCCCACAGGGTTTTTGTTACATTTGACTTAGTGATGTCTGCAGCACTGTAATGTATGTGTATACTTTTGTATTGTATGTATTTAAATAAGTTGGTACTGTGGCTTGATATTTTTTTTTTTTTTTTGTCCTCTCCCTAAACACCCTGATTGTCTACGTTCTCACCCAAGTTTCGTTTTCTGAAGCTTCTGAAGGTATGAGGCCACAGGGAGACCCTGGAATAAAAATAAGGTACTCAGAGTACGTATTTAATTGCGGCTAACGAGTGTATGTTTTTAGACCATTTTAGATATTTGCAGCAAAGCATTCTTTTTGTATGTGTAGCATTTTTGTCACTCACTCTTGTTCATAAACTGTTTATTTGGACAGGGCAAGGAAGACTCATTATTATGTATGTTAGTGCTTAGATTACACTCCAAACATGAGCAAGGCTTTATAAAATAAAGCACTTTGATGACTCACTAGGTAAATCCTTTGTTCTTGTGTTTCACCTGTGGTTTTGATTGCTTACAGATGAATTTGGATGTTAAATGCCTGTATCACAAAGGAAAGAAGTAAGACAAAATTTAAACTTGAGATTTTTCACTAGATTTTAACATGCTTCTTACATGCTTACTTTAAGGGGCTTGAAACATTTAGTCTCTGGGGTTTTGGGCCAAGATTGGCTCTAAGAGTAAATACTGAGGTGTAATTGGCAAATCTGTGGACTAAATCCTAGTATTAATAACAAAACATCAAGATCATCCACAATAGTTAATTGATAGAAGGATTGGCAGAACTTTGCTGGCTGTGATTTTATGCTAAACCAATTATTTTAAAAGTATTTGGGAATAAGTCCAAACTTTTGTGGGAAGGAGGGAGGGATTTCTGTTCTAGAATTTCAAGACTTTGATTGTCGGGGCTTTCAGTGCATGATACAACCTGTGCTACATATTGTGGGCAAATGGCAGAAAAGTGTCTTTTTGTCTTTGTTCTGACTTAACGTTTAATTATTTTAATACATTTGTAACATTCTGGTTTTTTCAGTTTATTTCACAGATGTAGGAAAACAATATTTTCAGCAGTATTTGGTGTAAAATATATGACTGAATTAATGATAAAGTAGATATGCCCCAATGACAAGGTGGCTGAGGAACTATTCTCTTAAAAGTAGGTGAAATAGAGACTGGAGAGATTCAGCTTCTTAATTACTCATTTAATAATGTCTCTAGTAATCCAAGGTTGCACTTCACACAGCTTCTCCAGCTGCTGAGAGTTTAGTGTGAACATGGTACTCAAGGAATGCTGCTCAAATTACGTGGATTATTAGCAATGGTGGGCAGCAGGCAGCTGCAGGACCCTGTCTTTAGCAGAAGTGTGTACATGGCAATGTGTAAGAAAAGGTTATCTTTCCTGAAGGTAGTGATGATATTCCGTGTAGGAGATCCAGCTGGCTTGTCCATGCAAGGACTGTAACAAAATAAATAAATTAAAAATTCTTGGAAACAATAATTTGCTATGTCAACTATATAACCTAAATTTATAATCTGAATTTCCAGCTCCCTCCCTTTTGCAACTAGTATTTCTTTTCCAAAGTAATACTAGTCCCTATATCAAGTGGGACTGTTGCATTCTGATACAAAGCCTGCCTTTATCCATGTCTGCTCTCTATATGTGCTGTCCATTTGGTTTCTCTCAAACTCATCTATTTAATAGGGGAAAAAATACAAAAATAGAGAGCAGTTAACTTAAAGGAGAAATCTGTTTCATCTCTGTCTGTCCTGATTTCTCTGTGTCAGGAGCTGTTTATGGCAATCAGCATATCCCTTACAATGCCAAGTGACAAAGGCCTTGTGTGTGAGATTAAATCATTAACAGTTGCTTTATTAAAACTGTTAAAAAACAGGTCTAGAGAGGACTTGAAGAGGTAATTATTGTCTGTCCTCGAGCAGTTCAGCTGTAAATAAACATTGGTGAAAATAGGGTTAATCTTTTCCAGGGAGCTACTTCCATGACTTCCCTGTGCTCTCTCTTCCCATGCCTCACTAGTTCTATCATTACAAAGATTTTTTTTCTAAAATCTTACCTGACTACATTACTATCCTTTAAGCTCATTAATATTTTTTCTCTCTACAGTGGACTCTAAGAACAGTTTATTCTCTTCCTCTTCCAGTTTCTCTTAATGTGATCTTGCCTCTATGTACTGAACAATGTAAATATTAGCTTTTGCACATTTTAAATTAAATATTCGCTCTCTTATGTAACAAAATTATCAAAATGGTTTGAGCAAAGCAGAATGGCCTATTCCATTTTCTGTAATGACTAATTAAAAAAAAAAAAGTTAAAATAGTGATTTTTGAATTTCTGTTTTGAGAATTTCTTAGCCATTCATTTACCATCTACTAAAACAATTGTCATAATTGCTGTTTGCACAAAGTGCAGTTTCAAAATGAGCACAGCTAATCCTTGGCTGTAGTTGTTGCTATAACTGTAATAAAATACTGCTTTTCTCTTTTCCCAAACTAAACAATACCATGATCTTAGCTGTTCTCATCCTATTCCCTTTTCACAGCTTCCTGTCTCATCTCTGTTAGTGATAATCAAATAAAATAATTATTTGGCCATAAGTATTAAGATACAAAAAATACTTCTTGCAAGGTGGTGTAAATTCATTCTTACCCAGTACTCTGAATATTTGTAGGTATTTTAGTTATTGCCCAATACGGTTTGAGTTCATAAAAAGCTTTTACTTTGTTCCAACTCTATCTGATTAATTCATAGTGACTCATTTTATTTAGCAATGTGTGTCCTACTGGAATCAATGGTGTTTGTGTAGAAACCTTGTGTTTTGAAGAGGTTTAGCACTTCCACATAAGCCTGGAAGGTAATTTAACTCACTACATTTCTGCTATTTCACCTTGCCCAAGGCCAAAGCACTCTACTTCCTTTTCCGTTTTATCCATTTTTAAGTGGCTGCATAAAGCTATTTTGTTACAGGAATATCTCAGTCACTCTAATGTTTAGAGTGCATGTGTTGTACCAAGGCAGAGAGAAGGGCTTCAGTGCCTGGGCTGACAACAATTCTGGTTTGTCTTCCATCACCTGCAGATAACAGGGTCATGTTTGATTCCGTTTAAGAGAAGGTCCTGTGTTCCCAAGATGTGCTTGTTTATCCCAGCACCTTGGATTTGAGTGATACAAAAGAATCCTTTCTGCCAAATAGGTCTGATTAATTAGTGCCTACTTCAACCAGGCATGTAATGCTAAATTGAACTTTACACTCTGGGTCAGGTCCCTGTCTTCTTTAACACTGTAGAATTGCATAACAAAACAAGTAAGTCTTAGATAGAAATTTATTTGTACATCAGCTGCACCAAACACTTCATATTTTAGATGTTAAAATATCAAATTGTACTGTGCAATGATGATCAGCTCTTCATAGGGTAGACTGGAAAGAATCTGCTTTTAGTTAAGCAGTGATATGCATGCTTGCCTGCTTAGTACTGCTCTGCTGCTTCAGTCAGTAAAAGATCTGTGTGGAAGGAATTGCAGTGTTTGATCTGATTACACTGTGAAGTGCTCTGGAGCTGAAGTTTTCAAGTCATGTTTCACATGCCATAGGCTGCAGCATCTCTGTGCTGGGCTGCTCTTTCACCCCAGGATGCAGGAGAGTGGGGTGGCACTGAATCAGTTGAAAGAGAGAAAGCTGAGTGCATTTGTGGCCTTGAAACTGGACCCAGTAGTACAATGATGTTTTTGGAGGTCCTGGTCCGGAGGCAGAAAAACGTGTTTTCTGTACAACGGCTTCATGAGAGGAAAGTCCTGCTCATCAAACCTCATTTTCTTTTGTGACAAGGTAACCCAACTGGCTGATCAAGAGGAGCCAGTTGATGTAATGAGATTTTTGGATCTCAGTAAAGCTTTCAGTGCTGTCTCTCACAGAGTCCTTCTGCTATGTCCAGCTCACAGCTGGATAAACACATCATGTGATGGGTGAGCAGCTGGCTCATGGGTCAGGCACAAAGGGTTACAGTGAATGGAGTGACATCAGTCTGGTGACCTGTCACTAGTGGAGTTCCACAGGTTGCAGTAACAAGGGTTTAGGCTAAGAGGAGAGCACAAACCAAGAAACCTTTTCTGAAGTGGCAAGGAAGAGACAGTACTGAGGCTAGTAAGGAAATAAAGCTGAGAATAAGAAACAAAACACAAAGAAGCACCACTGGGTTTGGCATTATCTGCTTCTGCCCTGGGGTCAGGGAGGACAGTCCCTTATGGGAGCAGAGAAAAATCTCAGACCATAAAGATTATGATGCAGAAGGAAAGGTATAAATTTATATGTTGACAACACCATAAAAGCATTTTGCAATAATTACCTTCTCACCCGAAATAATGGGAACAGTGCTATGGTGTCAGATTGGAAGTAAAGTGAATTAGAGAGAACTGCTCAGCCTAGAGAGCAGATGATAGCAACCCTAAAAAAACACCTAGACCTGCAGCATGTTTAAAAGCAATGCAGTAAAACATTCAAGGAGATACATAATTAAACTGCTGGATTTGGGTCATATGATATGCTGATAAAGAAAAGACTGAGCAGGAAGATAGCTGCATGGAACATTTCCATCATCAAAATAAGCTCTTTCTGTGACCCAAACCAGTCTGTGGAAATGCTTTGTTTGGATGGGATGTTCTTTGGACAGAAACATTTCCCCATGCCCTGTGTAACCTGTATCCCCAGGTTTTAACTCAGCCTCTTCATCAGACACAGTCCCTACAAACACTTTGTGGCTTTGTTCGGAGTCGTCTGGCCTAACGCAATTGTTTTCATGGGCACGTTTGGGCAAGGGAGAGCTGATAGAGGAGAGGAGCAGTGTCTTCAGATGAGAAGATGGGTTTGAAAAGTCTGTCATTGTCTTAAGGTCCACTGGGAAGCAGCTCTTCCTTCTCAAGTATTGGGAGGTAGCTTTGAACCTTCAGTTCAGTCTTTAAGTTAGCAAACAGGGCTCTGACTTGCCTGCTTGGGGAAGGTGCATCATGTGTTTGTCAATTCACTGGAGGATGCTGCAGTGGAAGAGCAAATCACAGGCCATACCTTAAAAGTCACCCAGTCTGATACATACATAGCAGTTGAAAGCTCATGCTTTAAATGTATGGTTATTCTGAAGAATTAGAATGCAAATGTTTTAAATTAAAAATGCTTTCCCAAAATGGGGTTCTGTCCTTAAAAACCTGCAGAGAAGAGATGCTGTCATATTTTTTTGTGCTGGTGAATGGGGCTCATTATCCAGACCCTCTCCAAAGGTACAGTGGGCCACTGAGCAACTAACTGCATTTGCTAGCAAGAGTATTACTGAAACAGCATTTGTTGGATTCTTGACAAACATGGCTTCACAGAAGAGAAAGAATTCACAGAGCTGTTGTTACTAGTCAAATTCCATTACATGCTCAAAGTAAAAAAATAAGCTTTTTCAAACAAAGAAACAAAGCAGATTGCACCCTAGTAAGGACAAGTATACATCCATAATTTAGAGCAAGAGGGTGGGAAACATTACAGTGAACCGTGGCTGACTACAGATACCCAGAAGGTGAAGGCTGAAGATGATCTTCAAACAGCCAAGCTTTATGCTGTTAAATGCTTTATAGATCAAAATTATCAGCTTGAATTAATCCATGCTTTATGGGCAGATAGTGTGAAAAATGCAGCTGGGACATAATAGGATCAGAGTTACCGAAGTCAGGGAGTAAATGAGTTGCACAAGCTGTGAGTAGAACAGAAACCCTGCTGCGACCCTGCTCAGGGAGAATTGTGCTTGCTGGAGCTCATGGGCACCAGGGCAGGTGGTGCAAGGCAGCCACAACCCACATAAATACAGGCTGTGTCTGGGAGAAAGGAGTGGTTGGAAGGAAGGTCCATGTACTCAAACTTGTGATGTTTCTAAGCATACATATTGTCATTACATAGGGCAACTAAAGAAGGGAGATTGAATAAGAGAGTTAAGGGACTTGCCAGCTCGTAGAAACATAATTTCACAGCCAAGCATAACCAGAGGGCTACATTTCACAGTTTATCCTGAAGATAAAAGGTGGAAAAGTTCAGATAGTTCAAAGAAACCAGGCAAGGATCACATACTAACATATTTCCAGACCTTTTCAGGATTCTTTGACCTATGTTTGTGTTTAGTTCTTTCATATAATAGAGATATTGCCATGAATTATCAGCTAGGAAATTAGTTCTAGATGTTAACAGCCATACTGTTTCTAATTCTAATTGTTGCTTTTTGCTAAACAAAGTAATTTTAAACAGACCTCCTATGTGGCTTAATGTGGTTTTTAAGCAAACTGCTCTCAAAAACTTCTTTAGTCCTTTCTTGTTTATTCCACAAATCAAAATGTTACCTTCCAGACTAATTCACAGTCTGGAGTGCAGTACTCTGGTTTTTAATCAGAATAATAGAAAATGATCTCATCAACTTCCTTTGCACTGTCTCCACTGTCCACTGCAGTCACAATCTGGTCTGGCTTTAGCTATGCATTTCCTATAGCAAAGATTTACCATGGCAAAAAGCAAGTTGTACTACTTCTGAAGTTCACTTTGTCAAGCACATGTTGTTCCTTCAAGCCATTATTCACTTTGGAACACGTTCAACACATCAAAAGAAATCCAGAGGCGTTTGAAATATTTTCTAACTTACAAATAACTTGAATTGGAAGTTATAACCTGATCCAAAGCCCAGGAAAGTCTCTGTCTAAATTCAATAGTTATTGAACCAGGTTCTTCAAGCATAACCTTTTCATCATCCATGACTCACACAAATTAGTCCCTGTGAAACTAAAAGGTGTTGCTGTTTTAACTGTGCCAGCATAAACTTGTATTTCCAGTCTTTCTTACCATGGATCTAGATCCGTCTTGGTAAAAGTACCTATGTTGTTAGCCCATATCCCAGTATTTCCTTACAATGCTTGTTGGAGTTATTCTGCTTTGTACCAGCATAAGACGTATGATAGTTCTTGTACTGTACTAAAAGCTTTACAGCATAACTGCAGCTTTAAAAGAAGAGTTAAACTTCTCTCCAAAACATTTACTGAGTATAACTATATTAAGTATAATGACTTAGCAAGACAGATGTTTGAGCAGACCTTCTCCTGAACAGAATCTTCAGGCCTGTTTGCCTAATGCTCTTGTAGTACTTAACAGCCAGCTCAAACATCCTTTCAACTGTCAAATAAATTCCCACAGACCAGATGAGAGCAGAACAAATCCAGCTCCAGCACACACACAGAGTATGTGCTAGTTTTCCTACAGTGTAATTAGTACCATGCAGCTTCTCTGTGCAACAGAACTCTCTGCCCTAAGCAAGGGAAGG